CACACATCGATGTATGACACATACATAGTATATATATAATTAAAATGTGACGTATTCATTAAATTATATATCACAGCTGGACCAAAACTAGTTTGCAAGATATTTTCTATTCTATATTCTATTCTAAATAGCTCAATATTCACCGATGATTAATTTATTTTTCTAGTTAAGTATATCAAAATCAACTTAAATGAAGTCCATGGGAAAACATCTTATGTCCTCTCCTCTAAACCACATGGTTTCTCTTCATACCACAGAGTTTTTACTAACCTTTATTACAATAAATGTAACTCTAATAAAGACAATTTCCCCCCCCCTCGCTTATCAAAATGTAATCTTAAGCAAAACATTGCTGTTAACAGTCACAATTGGTAACTCATGATTTGCTAGTGCCAAATCGAGACATGAATGGTACCTCCATCACAAATGTTCAGGGGACAGTTAATGGGTGTAACATTAGTTAGTTAATAGAATATAGAATGGAGTAGAATAGAATACTTTATTGATCCCCCATTGGGTGAAGTTTACACACCACAGTAGCATCCAAAAATACAGAAAGTACAAAAAAATAACAATAGTTAAGTAATATGCATCCTGGTGTCCGCGCACAGCAGGTCCAATGTCCCACCGTCTACGATTGGGCGGTCCACACACTGGCTGAATGTGGGGAGAGTGGTAGAGAGCAATGTATGATTAAAGTCTCCTGAGATAGCGATCAGACACTGAGGGTGTGATGTTTGCAGCTGGGACACTGAATTGTGGATCAGTTCACAGGCCGCAGCAGCATCAGCCGAGGGGGGGGGATGTAAACTGTAATCAGCAGGACGTGCAAAAACTCCCTTGGCAGGTAAAACGGCCGCAAACCAACGGCCAGCAGTTGAACATCCTTCGTGCAGCGTTGCTCTTTATCGCTAACGTACCAGCATTACGCCATCTCTCATTCACATACATGGCAAGTCTCCAGCCATTCTTCTTTCCACTCTCCCTCAAGCTCTGGTCCACTCTGATCAGGTGAAATCCGTCCAAAGTTACGAGCGAGTCCGGAGTGCGTTCGTTCAGCAATGACTCCGTTACAACACTGCACTCTCGATACTCACACTGCAGCCTGTTAGCAGTTAGCTGTTAGCTCTTCCAGCCCATGAGGGAGAGACCTCACGTATCCCATGATGATGGACGGGACCAGCGGCTTGTAGCGTCTCCTCTTCTCCTGATGCTTCACTTCTGCCCTGCATCCCCTCTTCCTCCTGTGGAGCTCATCGGGGATGTCCGGTCTCTCCCACAACGGTGGCTTGGCCTGGCTCAGCGCCAACAGTTGTTCACGAGTGTAAAAACAATAGAGCCATGGCTCAACGGCTCAACAGCTCATCAGACGTAAACCCCAAAAACTCGCAAAAAAAAGCAAAGAACAGACCAACAAAAATGCCATCTGCATCTCCACTGTTCCCTCACAAATGTGGTACAGCTGTATGAAATTAAAATATTAAAAAGATAGAAGAAAAACCAAAGTAAATAGCTAAAAACACAGAAAGTAGGAAGGAGCCGCTGCAACTGGCTGCCACTCTCATGACACCATAGCAAAAACAGAAAAGAAAAAAAATCTATATATATATTAATTAATCAGCTAATAGAGGCTTACAGTATTATCAGATATGTGTATGTTCTGATGATAATAAAGGATTCTTAATAAGTAACAAAGTTCATTGATGGTAGTCAATCTTAAAACAATGCTCAGATCCCCACATGAACATTGAAACTGGTTTTATTTACTGCAGTCATTCTTTCAGTTCATACTGCACAGATCCTTTCCTAATGTTCTTGCAGTATAAGTAATAGAGAACAAAATCCACAGTGCTTCTTTTGTGCAAAAATGTTTCCAGAAGTTTATCTGCAGCTGATATGAGGCTTTAGCAAACTGGGTCTGTTGAATCAAGATATTAAGGTGTGGACTTTTCTGTTAGAAATACCTTCTTTGTGTTTACCTTGACAATTTTTCTTTGCTGAGCTGCTGGGGAGACATGGTGATATAAAGAGCAAAATTGTACAATTGCAAGAGTCTGACTAACTTAAGCTGCTGAACTCTCATTTTTGAGGGTTGTGGATTTTGTCCCTTATCACTTGTAAAGAAAACATGCTCCTAGTTTAAATAGGAGGACAAATTAACAACAGCAGAGTCTGTTTAAACATCCATATGGCTCGAGTGTTGTTACAGGACAAACTTGAAACACTGTGACCCTATCCTGAAAATATCTTGATAAAGACTGCAATGAAAACCAGTGAAACTATAGTTTACCTAGGTCTGTAGCAAGAAGAAGACTTTGATGACTCTTTGAGGGAGATGACTCTAAGACCAATGACAGGTTCTGCAGCTGTTATAGTCTACGGCTTTGAAGTTCCAGCTTTCGTCTGTCACTGCTTTCATAAGTGCGAGCGCACACAAACATGCGCGCAGAGATTACATCCAAAGCCGGTTGCCCTGTGTGGGAAGACAACCGTACCACTCTCTGTATTGGACACTGCCAAAGGAAAATCCTTGGTGACGAACAGACATATTCATACTTGAGGATAAAAGGTAAAATATTTCAGACTTTCTTCACTGGAGCTGTTCTGCTTACACTGACTCACTGATTACATAGATGGCTTTGGTCCCAGTCTGCCGGGCCTGGAACTCCCACTCTTCAAACATCTCTGGTGCATGCAAAGGAAAATCCTTCATGCATATTAGAGAAATATTTAGGTTTAAATTGAGGCCCGTAGGGCAAAAACACTCGTTCACCCAACAACACACAAATCGCATCACACCCTATACATATTTGTGTTTGCCTAATTTTCCCCAACAACAGTGGAATCAAATGCACAAACAGTGACAAAGACAAAACACTTTCAGCACTTCTGGGCACTAATAAAATGAATTGTGATTTACAAATTCAAGTGCTTGACTTTTCCCAGAGGTCTTACAAAGGACTACCATCAAGATCTGCAAAGTTATCGCCAAGCTTATAATGAATAAGCATCATTATGGCACGGAGGAGCGCCACAGCCAACACGGCCATAAACTCTCGTGACACATCACTGAACCAATTACAGCATCAGCAGAGGCAATCCAAGTAGCTTCCATGAAATTAGGAAGCAAAGGCTTGAAATCATCTTTTATAGAACATGCATGTTTTGTGCCCTTTTCGTTGTAGTAGGTTTCTGCAAAATAGAGTAACCTCAATCAAAGCTCTCATTGCAGGCATCCCTCTCCTGTTTAAAATCTTTAATGTGGTTTTTCAGCCACTACAAAATTCTAGCATCCCCGTTGCTGCATATGTATGTACACATATTCCTAATATACGCGAAAAAAGACCAAAAGATAGTAATCAGTGAATATATGTAGAATAACAAACAATAAAAATAATATGTAGCTAAAATAGTGCAAAAACCTCATACAGGCAGTGTGGGAATTTAAGGTGCATACATAAATAAATTGCAATGTAAATCACTAGATAGACGTTGTATTGTTGGTGTTATGTCAGTGTGTCAGTAGTAGTCTTGCACTCAGTCCAGAGGCACAGAAAGAAACTCCGACTATCATACTCCTGAGACGTCACAGTTCATCAGTGCAAGACCTTTTGCTTAGAAGTTGTGTGTGTGTGTGTGTGTGTGTGTGTGTGCAGATGGACCTGAAGCGCCTGCCCAATGCCAGTCGCTTAAATAGATGATGTCCGGAGTGAGTTATGTCCTGTTCCCAGCCCTTCGGATACAGTAAGCGCTGGAGCTGGCCAGGTGTTGGCAGCTGTGTACCAACAATGCTGATTTTACAACACGCTCGTGGGCCTTTTTTTTTTGTCAGCGGTGACACAGTTTGTCAGAATGTTCTCTGTTGTGCCTCTGTAAAAGTTGACAACCAGTTTTTTTTTTTTTTTTTGAGGGGGAGTAGTTGGCTCTCTGCAATCTCCTCAGGAAGTAAAGGTGTTGTTGCACTTTACCCACCGCTGCTGAGGTACTGACAGACCAGTAGAAGTCCCTCTTTAATTTGCAAGCACCACACGCACAGGCTTTGGTCTCCTGCGGAGGATCATTTCAGTGGAGTGCTGCCAAACAGAGGGAAAATAATTGAAGTATACTAGTCTAACTAACTGAAGGGAACATAAGAAAGAGGTTCCCTCATTCCTGTGAAAAAAAAATAAAAAATGCAACTCTGTTAACATCACGAATCCAGAGTGGGGTTTCCTTATTGCTTCAGGGGTTCTGAGCATTAAACCAGTGCACTGCCTTTTCAATTGAATGTTTATTCATCTTTTGGGGAGAGTTCGCCTCTTCAGTTATATTCACAGATATTTTGCTGTGGGATAGTCAGTCATAAAAATGGAAATAAACAATTTAGCCTTAAATGCATTTATTGCTGCAAAACCAGCTTTTAGTGAAGAGTTACAGTCTTTTATCTTCTCAAGTCATTTTGAGAATTTTGTATATTTAAAAGGAAGAAATCTGTTTCTCTTAGCACAAGGGCAATGTCATGTCGAGCTCTATCCTCCTCCATCGTCACCTCGTATTAAGCGTATGACTCACTCATCTTTTCAGAAGGAGTTTTCGGAAGTTTAATTATGCCGAATAAATAGCATAAATGGTTTCAATTTTCTTTAAGGAGAACAAGCATTCATTATCTATGCTACTACAGATACAAATTTGCACACTTGTACGATGTGACTGTATCTATTTTTTGCATTGTATTCTTTATATATGTTTACATTTTTCTTTTTTGTACACTGTGGAAATCTGAGAAACAACATTTCAGTTTCTCTATATGCACATGCAGAGATACTGACAATAACGTTTACTTTGACTTTTTTGACTTTGATTTTATTGTAGGCCTGTTACAGGTTTTATTACAGATTTTTAAGGTTTCAGAGAAGCATTTAAGTGCTGCTCAAGTCCCTCAAATTAAATTAAAATATCCAACTTCTTTTTCTAATGATGATAACTACTCCCTCATCCTCTACTACTATCTCTCTCCACAGCAACAGGAGCAGGACCCCACCAACCTCTACATATCCAACCTGCCGGTGTCGATGGACGAGCAGGAGCTGGAGAACATGCTGAAGCCCTTCGGTCACGTCATCTCCACACGGATACTGAGGGACGCCAACGGCCTGAGCAGAGGGGTCGGCTTTGCCAGGTAATGAAAATGACGAGAAAAACACACGTGGAAAAAAAGAGTGGCGCTTTTCCTTGTGATTCCGCTCGCAGTTCAGCGTTTACACTTCTAATGACGGGAATAATTTTCTATAACTGGAGTAGCTTCAAGGTCATGAAACAAATGTTATATTTTGCTTGTCAGTCACATGTGTATTCTGTTTGCTGGACAAGCTGTAATTATATATTGGACACAAAATAACGCAGACTCATAATTATCACACTATGATCCACATTCTTGCTGAAGATAATTGCAGTAGACAGTGTTAGCCTCATCTGACTCATTGCCATTCACAACCGAGCGACTTTTAGCTCTAATGATACAACTGCACATCCTCGTACCCTTGGCCCCTTCGCCCTTTGCATGTGTGTGTGGTCTTCTCAGTTACATCGTAGAGTGTGCCAGTGATTAGAATGCAGTCGGGGCTTCTTTCAGGGTCACTGACTATATGAAGAAAAATCACGACCCAAACTGAGACATGCATGCTCACATCCCAAACACACACACACACACACACACACACACACACACACAGCGTCTCTCCTCAGTCACCGTTTTTCTCTTCCAAACACACACATTTACACACTGGCTTTTGCTTGCCAAGCAGGCAATTAGTCATTGAGCTGTGATTGGGTGAGCAGAGCTGAATAGGGGCAGACAAAGAGGACATGACACACAACAGATCAGACTGAATGGAGCTTTTAAACTGGGACAAAGGAGAGGAAACCCCATAGAAAACACAGACACACAAACACACAGCCATGCACAGGCCTACCTAAGGCATTTTTCTCAGGCGTACATGCACAATCGAGCACAGATGCATAAATAGGCAGCTGTTTAATACCCTTTCTGCATTGTGGGACACCTTTGTCAGCATTCAGTACATTCATTTTTCCGCACACTTTTATAGATCCACTGTAGCTTTTTTTGCATATCAACAGATCATTGTCCTGAAGTAGCACCTCTTTCTTTCTTTCAGGATGGAGTCAACAGAGAAGTGCGATGTGGTGATTCAGAATTTCAATGGCAAATTTTTGAAAACCCCTCCAGGCATGACGGGTAGGTGTCAATCTTACACTAAACAAAGACTAAATTCAGCTTAAGTTTCTTGTTTTGCTATTTGACATTGTCTCTACTGAACACATTTTAGCTGCTGCTCATGTTGTTGACTAGTATTACACATTTTGCTCTTCAGAAAAGTGGATTATCTTTCGCCTGTAGAAGCATGAACATGGTCTTTCTTTCATAGGGTTTCAATGGATGTTGTTGAGAAACAAGCCTTATTCAGACTAATCAATAAAGATGCTCCTTGTGACATCCAATAACCACACCTGGAGATATTTATCTTTTTATTGTGGGGAAAAAAAAAAAAAAATCATAGATACATTTATCTATTATATTTATATCGACTTTTCCTTTTGCAACCGTCGCTGTTCATCAGATACGGTCATGCAGTGGACATCTCTGCCTTTTTGTGTTACCACATCTGTCTGTGTACAAAGCAGCATCAGTGCAGCTGATAATACATCACCTTCTCAGCTCCCTCTCTCTCTCTCTCTCTGGCGCTCTTTCTCTCCCACTCCTTAGACCTCCTCGAGTTGATTTAGGAGGAAGGTCTGACTGATTAATTCTTTCTCTGTGGAAGAAGATTGAGACACACACATGCACGAGGCACATGCACAGACAGACGTCCCCTAAAGCAAACAATCTGTCTCTGATTGTCCCCAAATAAACAGCAGGAACTTGTTGCCTGTTTAACACTGAGTAGAAGAAAGTGGGGAAGGATGACTGAGGATGTCATTGAGTTCCAAACAATGAGAGACTGTAGAGAGAAACAACAGTGTGCATACTGTGTGTGTACATATATGCATATATATATAATTAAATATAGATACAAGTATAGACACATATCTGGCAGTGAGATTTGTAAGGTGCCTACATGCTGCTGTATATTGTGAGGTATGGCTGTGTAATTTTGCTGGAGGTTATGGCTGCCTCATTCCATCCATCGCTGCCTATTTCTGCAGCCTGTGTCTGTCTCACTGTGTGAAAAACACAAAATGTTATCTTATATCAATATGAGGCTTGGCATAGTTGATTCAATATCAAATCTGAACTGTTTTGTTGGAAATTATTATATATTATCAAAGAACTCAGTGTCATCAATTATTGTCTCAGTTCATTTGATTGAAAATCTGTTTAAAACAGGATATCATGTTTATAATTCATACATTTATTAACACATTTACTTTGAGAGAGCACAATACATTTAAAGCTACCAGTGACCAGGGTGTATTCAGACATAGTTAACATAAAGCTAGTCTGCCCTGTCTTTACATGTTGACCTAAATGATTATGTGAAGCATGACGGGGGTCACAAAGAGTATTTTTGGAGTCCACATTGCTTTTACATTTTGCTCATCACTCCCACCATTCCAGCGAATTCAGGTATTCAGAAATTCAGAGTACACAGGCAAAGTTAATATTAAAGAGCATAGTGAAGTATGAAATATGTTGCATGCAAAATCTATTTCTCAGGAGAGTGAATATTGGAGTTGACGCAACAAATTTCACAAGGTGATAACATGCCAAATTTGTATTTGCATCTTGTTGTGCTGCCCCCAAGTGGCCGAAATTTAAAATAATGCAGGTTTAAGTCCAACACAAATGCACTACTGCTTCTCTATCCTGCAAGTGTCTGACCTCCAAACTTAAAGAGATGCATTGCTTGTCTTTGCCAGGGGTATCCATTTTCTACTGTCTCCTTTGTGCATCTATTTGTGTGTGTGTGTGTGTGTGTGTGTGTGTGTGTGTGTGTGTGTGTGTGTGTGTGTGTGTGT